CAAGTTAGAAAATAAGGATACGAACGCCATAACAACGCATCTGCTGGCGTTGACCGCTCATAGGCTCTCCATTGACTCTTAAAATGAAAACAAAGACCTTTAGAATCTTCATTACGAATTTCTGGAAGATATTTGTAGCATATTTAAGAATTAATATAATGTACATTCGAAATTTGTTTTTCGATATTTTATGAAAAAGGGTATAAATCGTGTCTTCCTACTGACGGTAACATATAGATTCAATTTGGCATAATTGGACACACACACACACACACACACACACACACACACACACACACACACACACACACACACACATATATATATATATATATATATATATAGCTAATATTACTGGTAAATATACACATAGATATGCAAAATATATAAACATATATATACATAGGAGCATACACATACATGTATATTTTTTGAATAAAAAATTACAAGAGGATAGAATCCAGGTAGGACTCAATGTCCAGGACAGAGTAAGGATATAATAAAAAGGCTTAAACACTAATATTCCATGGTCATAATTTACTCCATTGGAATCGTAAATACGAGCCAATTCATCAGACCTACAAATTCAAAAAGAAAACAGAAAAAAACAACTCCGGAAATAAAAATAGAATTTAGAGAGAGTGTAATATGGGAGTGTGGGATGAATGTTAGAGCTAAAGAGAGGGGTAACAGACGAGGGAAGGTGGGAGATTAAACCTTAACAGAGAGACGTTTTAGAGAGGTAAGTTGAAGAGGTTTAAGTGAGAACCGTAAAGGATGTATGTCAGCACGAAATGTATCCTTTACGGTTACATCTTTAATGTATTAGACATCCGACAACATTCATATTTCTCTCACTTAAACCTCTTCACCTCACCTCTCTAAAACTTCTCTCTGTTAAAGTTTAATCTTCCACCTTCTCTCGTCTCTTACCCCTCTCTTTAGCTCTAACATTCGTCCCACACTCTCATACTTACACTCTCTCTAAATTCTATTTTTATTTCCGGAGTTGTTTCTTCTGTTTTCTTTTCGTATTTACGATTCCAATGGAATAAATTATGACCATGGAATATTAGTGTTTAAGCCTTTTTATTATACATCATACAAAATTTAACGATAGATAGGAAAAAGCAAAATTTATATGGTATTTTAAAAAGCTAAAAAAGAACATCCGGTTTCCTCCCAGCCTTATAAAGTTTTTTTTTCTAGGATATAAAAAAAAAATATAAGCGTGTAAAATAAATTAATATAACGGATGGAAGGAACAAGAATATGAATTTCAAGAAAACTAGAGTCCAATAACATTTAGACCCAATAAGCATTCCCTCTGTTTAGAGAGGGAAGGCCCACGGGATCTGATATACAAGGACTCTAGAACCTTGTGGTGATATGAGGAGTGGGACCTAGATAAAATCGGAAAACGGTCCGCACTAAAATCAAACACACAATTCCTGCTATTTATTACATGTTCAGCAATAGTAGAGCTAGAAGTATTGGCTAGTTGGCTTTTCCTGGTATCCGGATTCAAAATCCTGGGTGGTAAGTGTTGTTCACACACACACACACATATATATATATATATATATATATATATAGTAAAGATAACAAATCTGTTGGTATATAATTCAACTGGATCTTAATAATGTAAAATATTAAAACTGATCAATAAACAGAGCTCAATGTATTTTTTTATTACAGAGAAAATAATTAATATACAATAAAATCCCAAATCACCTCATATGGAGAATATCCTATTTCGGCAGACAACGGATATAGAATAGACAGAAAATGGAAATGGAAAAGCGTTTAATTGGAACTAGATTTGATTACGCGTTTTTCCTTTCTAGGTTTCATCAGATCCTAAATACGAAAGAAAAAATATGTGTATATGTATTTATGTGTATACTTAAATAATGATTTATAGTACATTTTCCGTAAATTGACGTTTCTAAAGATTAAAGAAGAAGAAAAAAAAAGAAATTAAAAAAGCCGTTAATATTTATTCTGTATCTTTTCTTTATAATTCCTACTTCAGTTTTTTCCTTGTTTTTTTTTTTTAGAATTGCTCCTAAGCAAGAAATTCATTTTTGCCTTTTCAGAAATGAATCAAAGGCAAATCCTCATCCATTTTTTCAGAAGGAGTTGAAAGTAAAAGATTTCTATGCTTTTAGGTCTGTACACGTGTTTTTCGGATATAGAAATGATTCATTTTTTAAAAGCATAAAATTTCGTTTTTGGATCTGATGAAGCCTAGATAGGCGAAACGCGTAATGAAATCGAATTTGAATGAAACTTTTCCATTTGTCAAATTTCATAAAAAATTGTTGGGATTCTATATCCAATTTTAATACACCCCCCACACAACCGCCGACACACAAACATCCCCCCACATATATATATATATATATATATATATATATATATATATATATATACGTGTGTGTGTGTGTGTGTGTGTGAGAGAGAGAGAGAGAGAGAGAGAGAGAGAGAGGATTGCGTGCGGCACTCTCCTGTTTTGAGCATGACATATTCACGGTGCCAGGTGTTTTGCTCTGGGATAGAAAGAATCAGTTGGTGACAAAGATTTAGGCAAAGATAGGTAAAACTTAAAAAAATAAAAAATAAACAGCCTTTACTGGGTTGATCAGAAAACAAAAGCAAGTTAGAAATACACTTCTCCCAGTTCTAATCATAAGAGCCAAGATGGTGACTGAATGTGTTCGATGTTGGGTATAAAAGAGTCAGAATATTATAAATGATATTATTGATCATTTCGAATCAAGTGACTGCAAGGACAGCTAAAAACTATTGATTCTTGAGACAACCTTCAAAAACTATACACACTCTTTTTTTTTTCTGTCTATATTTCTGAGATGAGGTATTATGTACATTATTTACATTATTCGGACTATTGCCCTCATCTTTGTCGCCATATTTATTACAACGTTTAACAAGGACAGATGGTACAGTAGATAAAGGCGTTGGTTTAATCCAGTGACAGGACCCAAAGAGCGTGAGTTCAATACCCGGTTCAGGCAGTGAGGAACTTGGAGAGGGGAATTAACAGGAGATAACTGATAACTGACATCCATAAGATTAGTATCCGCCTTGCTCAGTAAATTACCGAAAATAATTTGAAAGAAAATTTCCCTATCAACAGGGATCTAACCGGTAATCCCTTTTTTCTGGGAAATCACTTTTTAGCCGTTCTGTTACAAAAGTACTTACAGAAACGGTAAGTTCAATTACTCTTTTTAAGAACTATAGATCTATCATTGTGGCATTTCAAGGTTCTATATCTGTTAACCTATTTTTTCGTACCAGAAGAAAATAATTCATGATTTATGAAGAGCTATTTCAAAATTACAAGTTGAATTTCAAATCGCTGCCGAGTGTAAGAAATTCACGCTATTTACATTGTTCGAACTGTTGTCCTCATCTTTATTTTCATGTTCACGACGTTTCGGCCGTTGTATGCTCCGGCCTTCTTCAGAGGATATACGTTGGAATTTCGAACGGGACCCTTTATTTAGTCTAAGTGACTATGAAGTAAACGCTAAAACGATCCCAGACAAATAGTTACTCATGGTTCGCCGTAAAGAATTCAGAAGAGGATTTCGATGTAAATCCTAATTGTTGTAGCATATCTACGGACAATAATGGGTATGTCCCCATTCACATAAATACAGTAGTAAATACTGTATGTTGGTCTGCAGTTGGAGATTCGTCTCCAGCTGTGCTGATCAAACTCTCGAGGCTGTGTCGAATGGCAGTCTCTCGTCTGGGGAAACAACTACCCGACTCAGTTTTATACGGAGTCTACGTGGAATTTTTTACCGAGCTTACGGGATCGGATGCCCACATTAAATTCGGCCTTGTACTATATCTGACCGCGTAGGACGGTTGGTAGATATCCTGCAATTGGAGATTTGTCTCCAGCTGTGCTGGTCAAACTATCTGCCTCCGGACTGAGAGGATCCCCAGACGAGGTTATGTCGAAGGGCAGAGTCTCGTCTCGAGAAACAGCTAGTCGACCCCGTTTTATTCGGGGTCTACGGGGAAATTTCGGTCGAGAATACGGGGTCGGATAGACGCATTAATTTCGGCCTTGTGCCACATCTGACCGAGTGAAACTGTTGGTAGATATCCTGCAATTGAAGATTTGTCTCCAACTGTGCTGGTCAAACTCTCTGCCTCCGGGCAGAGAGGATCCCAGACGAGGCTATGTCAAAGGGCAGAGTCTCGTCCCAGGAAACAGCTACACGATCCCGTTTTAAACAGGGTTTACAGGGAATTTTTGGCCGAGGCTATGGGCTCAGATACCCGACATTAAATTCGGCCTTGTGCCACATCTGACCGCGTGGGGATGTTGGTAGATATCCTGCAGTTGGAGATTCATTGGGAAATTCACTTGATTCACTTCTAGTAGTTGACTACTTCTATGCGCCGCTGACGAATCTTATAATAATCGACATGATTCTTCTATTCAGTAACCTTCCTTAGGTTACAACACAAATGTATTCATATTCTAGGTGGAAAGAATTTATACAAGACATCTTTTGAAATATACCCTCTGTGTTATAGTTGTCTTCTTTTTTTATAGACTAAAGCAGTTTAATTCAATATGAACAAATTCTTCAAAGAATGAAGACAATGTAGATACAACACAGCAGATAGCAACCATCAGGTAGTTAATACATCAGTGGATACATAAATGGTGTTTCATGAACGACTAACCGATCGGACAGAATTTATCGTGAAGAACTCGGCACGATAAGAAGCTCGCATCTAATAATAATAACAACAAGCCGGAAATATTGTCAAAAGTTACATCACGATATTCCATGAAGAGTGATCTCCCCTGCCGGATATCAGAATATAAGAAGTATATAAAGTTTTATGTATTGCTCAACCAATGAATAAAGTGTTTTCGATTCACAAATTGAGAACGGATTGAACTGGTCGATTGAATGCTTATACACTGTCGAAGTTGATATTTTATGTTGCTACGAGTAATTTCATCTATCTATCTATCTATCTATCTATCTATCACAACCTGTTCATATCTATCTATCTATCTATCTATCTATCTATCTATCTATCACAGTCTGTTCATATCTATCTATCTATCTATCTATCTATCTATCTATCTATCCCAGTCTGTTCATGTTTATCACAATCTCTCCATATCTAGGTATCGAAGATATTGATTATTTAAGATCTAGGCGAATTGCCCTCTTGATTTCAATCCATTAAACTATTGCGCCTGAGATGACATCAGTAAGTGAATGTAATGGATTCGCCGAGTTCGAATTCCAGTCGAATCCATTACATTCATTTACGGGCTAATACCGTTGGGAAATGTATGAATCCTCTTCTTCTCACTCCCTAGCTATGGGTAAATAGCAGGAAAGACCGGTTTCTATAGCCTTGGATGGTAACTGGTCTACCGCAGAAAGAAATGGAAACCTGCTGCGGGAAAAATATTTCCTCGTCAGTTATGTATCGAAAGATACATAATCGCCTAAGCATGGCACATAACTGACTGACGTGCTAATACCCTTGAGAAACGTATGAATCCTCTTTTTCTCCCCCCTAGCTATGGGTAAATAGCAGGACAGACCGCGTTTTATAGTCTTGGATGGCAACTGGTCTACCGTTGACAGAAATGGCAACCTACTGCGGGAAGAAACTCTGCATCGTCAGTTATGTATCGAAAGATACATGATCACCTAAGCGTGTATCATGAATGGCACATAACTGATAAGTGGCTCCACAGCATAAGGGACTCCTCTGGAGGATGTCGACGGAGACATGATCGCCATTATGAACGTGGGAGACCTATTAGTGGTTCTTTCCTTTTTCGTCATGATTCATTCTCTTTCATATGGCACACCCATATTGAGAAGCAGAAAGCGTTGAAGAGAAGGCGAGATACAAGATGGTGGAAGGATAACGTGATTTATAAACCAGGCGCCACTGAACTATTTTATAAATATAATGTTTGCTTTAATTATCATTTTTACTAAACTTCATACTCAAATGTCGCATGAATTTACACACACCTAAAGTTAGACGATTTCTGACGTTCGCAAATTTTAATATGATTATCTATTTCAGAGATCTTCTATTGATCGAGGTTTGTTGGCTTGAAAAAACAAAAAAACAAAAAAAAACAAAAAAACGAAAAACAAGAAACAATGAGGAATTACCATCCCTGCCCAGCTGATAAATAATCCATAAGACTTAGATCTGGACCAGTGGCTATGTATTCTTTCGTTTGTAATTAAATTGTAGGACGTACATAACAATCTGGTTCAATTAAGACAATAACTATTGTTATAAAATATTAATAAAAATTATCTGGACTTGACATTTGGTGCATTTTGCATCGACGATGAACGAGAAACCCACTCAACCGTGGAGTATTCCAAATGAAGTGAGGCTGATCCTAAATTTTCGACAAGACGTATTCCGAAAATGTCCACAAGTGGTTAACATAGATGTTTTTCAAAGGGTTTCTAGATCTAAACGGGGAAAAAATTTGTCCCCCATACATAAATGATCTCTCTCTCTCTCTCTCTCTCTCCCCCCCCCCATATATATATATATATATATATATATATATATATATATATTATAATGAAGAGAAAGAACAGTAGATATATAATCCCGTATTTTATTAATGTCTTTATTTGTACAAAACAGTGCTCAATGAAAATCTGCAGAGCATAAATATTATAAATTTAATTATTTAAAAATATGGTTCCATCGCTACACAGGAATTATCATGTTTCAAAATCAGAAGCTGCAAACTTCGATTTCAAATACAGAATTAAATTAAAGGACTTTAATTTAATTATATAACAGCATTCGAAGTTTTTAGTTTCTGTTTTTGAAATATGGTAATTCCTGCGCAATCATATTTTTAAATATATATATATATATATATATATATATATATATATAGTTGGATTAATGTGAGTTTGTGATCCTGGGTTTCACTACTGTGTATATAGGTGTCTTATGGCAGTGGGAGGAAATATTGTCGTCGGAATACAGCACCTTGTATTCCCAAACGTTCACCAATCGTGTTGATTTTTAAGTACAACATTTCTTACAGGATTATCTCTCTCTCTCTCTCTATCTATCTATCTATCTATCTATCTATCTATCTATCTATCTATCTCAATCTGTTCATATCTATCTATCTATCTATCTATCTATCTATCTATCTATCTGTTTCAGTCTGTTCATATCTATCTATCTATCTATCTATCTATCTATCTATCTATCTATTTCAGTCTGTCCATATCTATCTATCTATCTATCTATCTATCTAGCGGTCACCCATCGTGTTGAATTAACAGAAAAGCAATAATTCTATCATTCGGTACCTCAAGCACAGATGTCTAACCATCTACATTCGGTATTTTTAAGTACAACATTCCTTACAGGATTATCTCTCTCTCTCTCTCTCTCTCTCTCTCTCTCTCTCTCTATCTATCTATCTAGCGGTCACCCATCGTGTTGAACTAACAGAAAAGAAATAATTCTATTATTCGGTACCTCAAGAACACATGTCCAACCATCTACATTCGGTATTTTTATGTGCAACATTGCTTACTGGATTATAAATTCATCTGATACAGAAACATTATTTAAACCACAAATTAAATTCTATATGAAAATTTTTTAATACTCTATCAGTTTCAGTAAACGAATGGCAATAGATTACTTTCTCAGAACACGGGGGGGGGGGGCTACAAATATTTACAGGATTAGACATTTATCAACTTGGCCTGAGTCGTACAGAGCATCTTTTCTTGGTTAATTGTTACACCTTCTCATTGATTAACTAATCAACCCATAGGGGAGAGAAGAAGTCTATAGATACATTTCTCAAGGGATATTTCCGAGCAAGAGAATATAACAAACGCGACTGAAATAGTATCACGGTTCTCTGATGAACTATTTGGAGGAATTATTCATTACACCAGCCGCATAATCAAGCCGGGTACCTAGTATCATCAAGCGGTCACCTATCAAGGTTCTGACCAGTCACGACATTGCTTCACTTCGGCGATCGTACGAGAACTGGTGTTTCAAATTGATAAGGCCGGAAGCCAAATTATATATATATAAAAATATTGTTTTGTATATATATATATATATATATATATATATATATATATATATATATATATATATATATATATATATATATGTAGCACTAATACCAAACAGCTTATTTAGAGTTGCGTATTCATATCTAATTAGGCATTAATGTCAGTCGGCTCATCAGCATCTATATACATTTCTAATTAAAGTCTTTATCTATCTATCTATCTATCTATCTATCTGTGTCGTTCTTCCATATCTATCTGTCATTCTTCGATATCTATCTATCTATCTATCTATCTATCTATCTATCTATGTCGTTGTTGCATATCTATCTATCTATCTATCTATCTATCTATCTATCTATCAACCACTTCACATCTATCTAGCCATCTCTTAACCTCTTCACATCTATCTATCTATCTATCTATCTATGTCATTCATCCATATCTATCTATCTATCTATCTATCTATCTATCTATCTATCTATCAACCACTTCACATCTATCTAGCCATCTCTTAACCTCTTCACTTCTATCTATCTATCTATCTATCTATTTTGTTCATCCATATCTATCTATCTATCTATCTATCTATCTATCTATCTATCTATCTATGTAGCCATCTCTTAACCTCTTCACCTCTATCTATCTATGTCGTTCTTCCATATCTATCTATCTATCTATCTATCTATCGCATGCTATTTTCCTTATCCCTATTCATGTATCGGCAGCCGTCACTTGTTTTTCTGTATTTCTTCAGTGCATTAATAATGATCGAATGATAATGTAACATCTTAACGAGCCAAGTTGGTTTGCCAAAGGGAAATCACGTTGGAAGAGGGCAGAGGACCTGTGTGTTGTTTTGATGACAGCAAGGAACAGCGGTTGCTTCCTGTTTACAGTGCTACTTCACTATTGACTGGTGAGGTCGTATTTCTGCGTCTATCAGACCATCAAAAAGATGATTGCTGTCAGAAGAGACACAGCCACGGCGATAACAAAGAAAACATATGAATCTCTTGAAACGAGCAACATTAAGAATAACAATTATTTTTGGCAAATATTGGAAATTAGCTGTGACATTTACTTAGGTGCAATCAGAACACACACACACATATATAATGATATTGTCCATTAAAAAATATGTGTGTGTGTTTGTATTCGTATGTATATAAGTATCTCTATCTATAAAAGGCAGGTTGTCTGTGTGTGTAACAAATGCACGGCCGCAATTTTTGACGGATTTGCACCAAAATTTACATGTACATGCTCCAAGTTAGCAGAAAGGCCAAGACCGACTTTGTATTTCCCATCGATAGTGGAAATAATCAATTTTTTCATGCTTCTACGGCAGTTTTCATGTAGTTTGCGGCCATTTTCTACTGGCCAGAGTGAGAGCCTATAGCTGGCTGCCATGAATAGGCAGAAAGATTCTATTGGCCAGCGTGAGAGCCAACAGCTCACTGACACGAATGTTAACTAGCATGCAGCATGAATATATATATATATATATATTACAATAAATCATTCATGCAAAAAGTAAATTAGTAAAGTTAATGAGCTAAAATGGCGAATTCACTTCGCTAACTAAATTTAAAAAAAACATATTTCGATTTGCATTATATTTTATTGTCTCGGATTTTCAGATGTAGAAATATTTATTGTATTGTTGTGTTAACGGATTCAACCGTTTTCTTTTTATATGAAGGATTCAATGTAATATAAATTAAACTGCACCACATATTTGATATATATATATATATATATATATATATATATATGAAAGAAAAAAGACAATAGGAAAAATGTAGTTTTAGCCGATGTGTTTCGTCGAATATGAACTTTTGAAGGCAAAAATCGAAAAGAATTCATTGAAACAAAAGTATATATAAACAACAAACAAAATGTCGTTAGCAACTAGAAGAATTTAGAAACGCTATTGTATATTCATATGGTCAACTGAAAAACTATGTCAATTACTTTATGTTTGAAGAGAATATTTTCAGATGTAGAAATATTGTTTGTATTGTTCTGTTGACGGATTCAATTATTTTCATTTGATGTCTTGATATATTTGTTGTGTGCGTTGGCTTGGGAGAGTTGTGATTTTGTTAGAAAAGGATATATTGGAAAAAAACCGTGGCATAGATTAATATTTGGATAATATTCAATGGCGGCACTCTCGATATTTTGTCTATATGGGATTCAGATGATGATATATATTCGTTAATGAGTGTATGTGTCCGTCTAGTCGAAATTATTTATGTTTAGTGTTGTCCGTGTGTCGTTTTGGGAACATTGAGATTTATTGCGTAAAATACACAATTGTGACACAAGGCCGAAAAGAGGGAAATAGGGTTGATGATGGTCGTCACTTACCATCCTATATACCTAGCTAATCCTATTCCCGACCCATTCATTCGTTACAATTGACACATTAACGACAAACACTCATCAATCGCCAAACAATCCTCCAAATACCATAATACCGCATACTATCAGGAGCGGAGACCTAAAAAACGAACCCACAAGACATAAAAATTACATTTCATGACTATAAAATGCTTTACATAAAATATGTTATCTTCCCCCCATAAATATAGAATCGGCTATTGCTCAAAACTTAGTTGAGAATATAGCCTGTGCCAAGTCGTATACAAAAGAGTGGTTTAAAATCATTCATACGGCTGGTTCCAACAATCATTTGAAGATTTTGGAATCAGTCTGTATAGGATTAAGGAAACCTTCTCTCTGCCGACAGAAAGAATTTGTAAAGTCTCTCAATCTGTTGGGGGATATTTTATTTTAACTGTCCCTCGCTAATTTTATTTACACGTTATTTCCCCTTCCCTCGTTACAATTATATACACTTGTTTGTTATTTTAGCGTGTTTCCCCCCTTTTTTGCTCTTCATTGTCGTTAATATTCTTTTCGTTGATTAATTATCAAACGATTGTCTCCTGATGAGATGTTGGTTGAAAGGGCCTCAGAGACTAATAAAATTAAAATCAATAAATTCCTAGTTTTTAAAACAGTATATAAATTTTGTACCTCTAAACATTAGTTTACATAAAAATATGTACATGATATAAAATGAGATATCGTTTTGGGAATGTTTTCAAATAACTATCGGCTGTAAATACGTTAGATTCTTTAAGAATGGATTTAATAAAGGTTTGTGATGTAATACAGTGTTTTTTGACATGAGTTTATAGTTGGTAAATTATTTGTCAAGACTTGTGATATATATTGGAGAATGCTAATGACTTATCAATGGCAATCCGTCTATTGGAAGATTATTGGGTGATCACATTAGGGAGTTATTCAGTGCATAAGTAAATCAATAATTAGGTAATGAGTACACCAGTCAGTTCAAATCAATCAAGCAACGATTTTATTGATTGATCTACGCCGATCTATTAAAATTATTCCGAGAGGTCTGCCAATTTATTGATCTATATATAGACTATTCATTCATTTCTTTGTTTCTATCTATCTATCTATCTATCTATCTATCTATCTATCTATCTATCTATCTATTTAGTCTTAGCCTGTTTATATCTATCTGTCAATCTGTTTCTTTTTCTATCTTAGTCTGTTCATATCTATCTATCTATCTATCTATCTATCTATCTATCTATCTATCTATCAGTCTGTTCATATCTAACTATCTGTCTATCTGTCAGTATGTTCATATATATCTATCTATCTATTTATCTTAGTCTGTTTATATCTATCAGACTGTTTATATCTATCAGTTTATATCTATCTATCTATCTATCTATCTATCTATCTATCTATCTATCTATCTATCTATCTTAGTCTGTGTATATCTATCTGTCAATCTGTTTCTTTTTTTTTCTATCTGTTCATATCTATCTATCTATCTATCTATCTATCTATCTATCTATCTATCTATCTATCTATCTATCTATCTATGTGGGTGGCGGTTCAGAATGTGTATATAGTACCAGGAAGAAACAATCTGATTACCGATTTCGAATTTCGACTGAAGTTGTCACGGCCTCAAATCATGGAGAAATCCACGAAACCTCTTCCCTTACTTTCTCTCGTTCTCCGGATATTTTGAAATATCACCCGGCTAGCCTGCCACAGTTGTCAACTAATAGAAGAAGCAATATGAGTGAGAATCACTGCAATTCACTGTCGTTTCCTGTCCTTCTTACTTCCTTCGACGAATAGGAATTAAATCACGTAATAAAACCTCTATTCAATTGAGTGTTTAGTCCAGAAGAAAAAATACATGCATTCTATTATTGATGGAATCTAACATGTTATTGAGATTCTTTGCAGGATCTCGTATTAACTTCACTTCTTGATGCATATTGTGTCCAACAAGTGTCCTCCATCTTTTGAGGTACGTGATGGATGACTCGGATCCACTCACAAATTCGAAGATAATATTAATTCTGAAAAGTAGTTTTGGTTACATTCACCTGGATTAAGCTTAGCCAAGAATATTAGAGCCATTATGAGGTAATATCTTTTCATTTTAATGACATCTGTGAATGACAAATGCACAAAAAAAGAACATTTGCAAAGCAGGTAATTCGATATTTGACATTTGAAATGGCAATTTTGTTACGTTTGGTATAAATTAAAAAGGTAATAAGAAATTTTCCGAATTCATTTTCGTTGATTTAAAACGTTTGGGTGACTTGAGCGTCTCTGACAGGAAATCATGATATGTTGTTTGAAGGTTAATTGGAAAATTCACACTATTTATCTCTTAAACTTTCAGGCCTATCTATCTATCTATCTATCTATCTATCTATCTATCTATCTATCTATCTATCTATCTATCAGTCTGTTCATATCTAACTATCTGTCTATCTGTCAGTATGTTCATATATATCTATCTATCTATTTATCTTAGTCTGTTTATATCTATCAGACTGTTTATATCTATCAGTTTATATCTATCTATCTATCTATCTATCTATCTATCTATCTATCTATCTATCTATCTATCAGTCTGTTCATATCTAACTATCTGTCTATCTGTCAGTATGTTCATATATATCTATCTATCTATTTATCTTAGTCTGTTTATATCTATCAGACTGTTTATATCTATCAGTTTATATCTATCTATCTATCTATCTATCTATCTATCTATCTATCTATCTATCAGTCTGTTCATATCTAACTATCTGTCTATCTGTCAGTATGTTCATATATATCTATCTATCTATTTATCTTAGTCTGTTTATATCTATCAGACTGTTTATATCTATCAGTTTATATCTATCTATCTATCTATCTATCTATCTATCTATCTATCTATCTTAGTCTGTGTATATCTATCTGTCAATCTGTTTCTTTTTTTTTTCTATCTGTTCATATCTATCTATCTATCTATCTATCTATCTATCTATCTATCTATCTATCTATCTATCTATGTGGGTGGCGGTTCAGAATGTGTATATAGTACCAGGAAGAAACAATCTGATTACCGATTTCAATTTCGACTGAAGTTGTCACGGCCTCAAATCATGGAGAAATCCACGAAACCTCTTCCTTACTTTCTCTCGTTCTCCGGATATTTTGAAATATCACCCGGCTAGCCTGCCACAGTTGTCAACTAATAGAAGAAGCAATATGAGTGAGAATCACTGCAATTCACTGTCGTTTCCTGTCCTTCTTACTTCCTTCGACGAATAGGAATTAAATCACGTAATAAAACCTCTATTCAATTGAGTGTTTAGTCCAGAAGAAAAAATACATGCATTCTATTATTGATGGAATCTAACATGTTATTGAGATTCTTTGCAGGATCTCGTATTAACTTCACTTCTTGATGCATATTGTGTCCAACAAGTGTCCTCCATCTTTTGAGGTACGTGATGGATGACTCGGATCCACTCACAAATTCGAAGATAATATTAATTCTGAAAAGTAGTTTTGGTTACATTCACCTGGATTAAAAGCAGCCAAGAATATTAGAGCCATTATGAGGTAATATCTTTTCATTTTAATGACATCTGTGAATGACAAATGCACAAAAAAAGAACATTTGCAAAGCAGGTAATTCGATATTTGACATTTGAAATGGCAATTTTGTTACGTTTGGTATAAATTAAAAGGTAATAAGAAATTTTCCGAATTCATTTTCGTTGATTTAAAACGTTTGGGTGACTTGAGCGTCTCTGACAGGAAATCATGATATGTTGTTTGAAGGTTAATTGGAAAATTCACACTATTTATCTCTTAAACTTTCAGGCCTATCTATCTATCTATCTATCTATCTATCTATCTATCTATCTATCTATCAGTCTGTTCATATCTAACTATCTGTCTATCTGTCAGTATGTTCATATATATCTATCTATCTATTTATCTTAGTCTGTTTATATCTATCAGACTGTTTATATCTATCAGTTTATATCTATCTATCTATCTATCTATCTATCTATCTATCTATCTATCTATCTATCAGTCTGTTCATATCTAACTATCTGTCTATCTGTCAGTATGTTCATATATATCTATCTATCTATTTATCTTAGTCTGTTTATATCTATCAGACTCTTTATATCTATCAGTTTATATCTATCTATCTATCTATCTATCTATCTATCTATCTATCTATCTATCTATCTATCTATCTATCTATCAGTCTGTTCATATCTAACTATCTGTCTATCTGTCAGTATGTTCATATATATCTATCTATCTATTTATCTTAGTCTGTTTATATCTATCAGACTGTTTATATCTATCAGTTTATATCTATCTATCTATCTATCTATCTATCTATCTATCTGTCTATCTATCTATCTATCTATCTATCTATCTATCTATCTATCAGTCTGTTCATATCTAACTATCTGTCTATCTGTCAGTATGTTCATAT